AATTCAGTATTGTAGATTTAAAAATTGTAATTTTTCTAAATGAATATATTTTAATTGGTATTAAAAAATAATAGTTTAAAAGATAAAAGTAAATGAATTTCAAAAATAAAAAGTAATAATCTATATAAATGACAATGATTGTTTGTTTTTTGTTCGCTATACACGCCTAGGCTGTTCGACCAATCGGCAGTTACGTTTATATAATGCTAACTTAGATAATGTTGAATTTCCAACCCAAAATATCTGGATTTATTTAAATCAATTAATTTTTCTCTCCATACTGTTTGTTGGTTTACACGTAGCGCCGTCTATTGGCAAAAAAATTAAAAAACAACCATTTGATTTGCTGAATTACACGCGGATCCAATAGATGGCGCTACATGTAAATGAGCAAACAGAATGTCTGAATTTATTGTTTGAATCGGATGTAAACCAGCAATTAGATTTTCTTAAATTTCTTACGCTACTTGTATATCGCAAGAAATTATTCTAAAATACAGTTAATAAAGAAAATTCCCGTAGGTACGAATTCGTCTTATTTCACATCGTTTCCTGGTAATGTTGTGGACTGCGTGGAATCGAAAGTGTTATCCTGTGAAAAGTCTATAAGAATTTAATTTTCTTCATTCAACAACTCGAGTGTTTTCATTTCTAAACGGTACTTTCTGAATTCTAATAAGCGCTTTTTAGTAGCCTAGTGCATAAAACCACCAAACCCTTGTAGTTAGTTAGTCGAGGGTTCGGGCATGGCCAACGGACGGGCTGGAATTTTCCGTGTTGAATTAAGTTAGTAACACTTAAATAGAGTCAAGCTTTCCATAAAAGCCTTCCTGGGATGCTTCCCCCTCGGCATATTCGGTGTCGCGTTGTCTTAACCAAATAAAACAAACTAATTTTAACGAGCAAATATTTATTGTGACATGGTCACATTGCTGGGCTGCAACTTTTCGTCACAATGTTTTCAATACTTTTAATAGTGGTCTTGTCACTGTACATAAAACTTTTCCTGTTAGTATTAGAGACGTGTCGATCATATATCTAATTCCGTTCGGAAAATACCGTCGACCCCCTATAAGACTATATATAATTTTGTTTTATATGAATTCCATGTTGTACGACTCACTTAGATTTTATAAATGCGTAAGCCGTTCACAGCCCGGCATACGTATTTATAAAATCTAAGTGACTCGTACAACATGGAATTCATATAAAACAAAATTATATATAGTCTTATAGGGGGTCGACGGTATTTTCCGAACGGAATTAGATATATGATCGACACGTCTCTAATACTAACAGGAAAAGTTTTATGTACAGTGACAAGACCACTATTAAAAGTATTGAAAACATTGTGACGAAAAGTTGCAGCCCGGCAATGTGACCATGTCACAATAAATATTTGCTCGTTAAAATTAGTTTGTTTTATTTGGTTAAGACAACGCGACACCGAATATGCCGAGGGGGAAGCATCCCAGGAAGGCTTTTATGGAAAGCTTGACTCTATTTAAGTGTTACTAACTTAATTCAACACGGAAAATT